CACGTGCTCGAACTGAGAGGGTCTGACCCTGCCTGCGCTGGATTGCAGCCAGTACTCCATGATGGACGACGAGGAGGAGCTGCCCCACCACGAGGAGCGAACGTGGTACGTGGGGAAGATCAACCGCTTGCAGGCGGAAGAGATGCTGTGCGGCAAGCGGGACGGCACCTTCCTGATCCGCGAGAGCAGCCAGAAGGGATGCTACGCCTGCTCCGTGGTGTGAGTACCCCCAGGCAGACCCAGGGGGATGGGTCTGGCACGGGCTGTGCTCCTGTGTTGCTCTGCCCTTCTCTTGCCGGATGCTGGAGCCTGGCAGAGGCGTCAGCTGGCCTTCCCAGAGCTCTCCCATCTCTCTCTGCTCCCCCCGGGGCCAGATGTGTTTTGGGGCTGCTCTGGTGCCACCTGCTCGTGCCCTGTCGCGGTGCTCCCTCGTGCCATGCGCTGTGGCACGCGGCTGACCCGCGCTCCCTCTTTCCCCGGGCAGGGTGGACGGGGACACCAAGCACTGCGTGATCTACAAAACGGCCACCGGCTACGGGTTTGCAGAACCCTACAACCTCTACGCCTCCCTCAAGGACCTGGTCTTGCACTACAAGCACACGTCCCTGGTGCAGCACAACGACTCCCTGAATGTCACGCTGGCTCACCCGGTCCTTTCCCAGCCGCCAGCCAGATGAGCAGCTCACGCACCACCCAAGAGCTGCCTCCAGCTTCTCCCCAGGGCGCTGCTTTCCGGCTCTGGACTCTCGCACCCTGTATAGTCGAGTCTCTGTGCTCCTGCCCCTCCAGAGCCTCTGAGATGTCCGTGACCGTTCCTGGTGTCCCTTTTGGTCAGTACCTGAAACCCAGTTGGTTATGGGACAAAAAAAGCTGGGCTGTTGACTCCCAGTGGGCTCCAGCCTCTGGGAGGTGGGATCCAGTTGGGATTGCGTCACTGTGGGTGAGCACAGCCCCCTCCCCTTCCCCCTAAGCAGGTCAGATCCCCCTCTTGCTGGCAGGTCACCCCGCTACGCACCACTGTAGAGCTAGATTCCCGATCCCTCGGTGTGCCG